ATATTCCAACAAATGATAGGGCAGAAGTACCCAAAACTTGTTGTGGCATTTACGAGTGCAGTTAGTGCTGCGAGTCCTGCCTAGGCAGTCCTGCAGTGATTCATTCTGTTGCCAAGAATCTTCCAAGGAATTCTGGGTCTATGGGTACTCACGATTCCTGGCATAATATTGCTGGACATGGCTGTTCCTTCCACAATATGCATATGCGTGGCATTAAGACTGTGACACTCGGGGCACACGTGTAAGCCTTTGGGCACTGTGTCGAGTCCTGGCCAAGAACCAAGAGCCAAGAACCTTCGAGTGCCCTTCGCATAGTATATCCAGTGGCCATTACATGTGTGTGGCATGTGGCATGTGGCAAGTGTGGTGTATGGTCTGCCTAGAGTACGAGTAGTATTGGCAAATTACACTCCAACGGACCGGCGGACGGACTAGTGTGGGTCTGTGGGTCGGTGGGTGAGTGGGTGGCTCTCTCTCTCTCTCTCTCTCTCTGTGTGTTCGGGCTGAAAGGGCTTAATATGCAAAGTTGGTAACTTAATTTAAATTCCCTCGTCGTGCACTTATTACTTTGTGGCAGCCGAGTTGTTGCCTAGTGTTGTTTTAGTGCTGCTGCTGCTGCTGGCGGTGGGGGGGAGGCAAAAAACTGAAGCACAACTCAACCAGAAACTTGCCTCTGGGTTGCTGCTGCAGTGGGGCCAGAGCAGGGCGCTGCGATGTTGTTTCTTTTCTTTTCTTTCCTTTTTTTTTTTTGGCAGTACATGAAACAATTTTTTGATAATTAAAGTTGAGCATTCTGTCGGGGTAGGGGTAGGGGAAATAGGCCCAAAGGCATCTGCCACTATATGGGCTTCGCTTCCCCATTTGCTGGGTGGGAGGGGGTAGGGTATCTATTCTTCTTTGTGGAAAGTTCGAGCCACAAAACTATGCCACAACTTTGGCTGGCAGTTCCCCCCCCCAGTCCAGTGCTAACAAATTGGAAAAAACTTTGCAAGTTCTCATTCGATGCATAGAAAAGAATACTTACAAATTATTTGCTCTGAGTTTGGCAGCAGCTTCCATTGCACCAGCAGTGGCAGTGGCAGGGGCAAGTGGCAGTGGCAGGGGCAGTGGCAGTGGCAAGTGCTCTTCCCTCTGGCTGATGTGGCGGCTATAAAAGCAGAGTTCGGCTGAGCTTTAGGGCGGAAAGGATTGTGGCAGGTCGAAGTGATTTTATTATTTAAATTAAAAGGAATCTGGGGCCTAAGCAACTCAGGCGCCTGCTGGCACAGGCAGGTGGGGCAGGGGCGGGCACATGCCTGGGGGAATTGGCAGTGCCACATAATTAAAAGTGTCGCATGTTTGGGTCACCAACCGACGCCGCAACCGCCCCCTACCCCTGCCTTGTGCCACCTTGAACATCTGTGCCCCGTTCCACTGACAAACTTTCGCACATAATTTATATGCTTATGTAAAGTCGTGCGACAATCACAGAAATAGAATTTCTTATAAGCAAAATTCCGCGCATTCCGGCTGTGCGGCGGTGGGGCTGTGGGGCTGTGCGGCGGTGGGGCTGTGGGGCTTCCGGATGCTGGCAGTGGAAGTGGGTGCGGGGGGACCTCAACCACCAAAATGCCAACAATGCGCGTCTGCCGCAAGAAATTACTTTCTGCGCCAAGCGGCAAGGTGTGTGCCACCCACCAGGAGGAGGTAACTGGAAAGGGCGAACGCGGAACGGGGAAAAGGGAAGCAGCAGCTGATACATATAAAAGCAGCATCGTCCCGGGCCCCCATAGCCCAGCCCAAGTAGCAAATCCTTGATGTGATTCCGCCTCATACCGCATTCAGTCAGTCGCTCAGCCCCAGCCTCAGCCCCAGCCTCAGCCTCCCAGGGGACCGGGGACGGGGACGGGGACACTCGCACTTGCTGCTGCTTATGGATTTTCGCAAGCGCGATTTTTACTCATTTCCCTTACCCCACACCCCACCCTCAAGCCGCCCTGTGTGCGCGTTTTACAAAGTGGCAAATGGAAATGTCTGCCACATTTTGTGTTCAACACACACGCCACACACACACACACACACACGCACACGAATTTAGCGTGTTAGCATCTTTGCTCATCAAGTGACAGAAGAGCTTGCCAGCGACATGACGTTTTTATTTGTCCCTCCTGGGCCCTCCACCTCCCTCCACGAATTGTTTGTTTGAATTTGTAAATATATACATATACGAGGGGCGTCTTGCAACGCACTGCCTGCTCCCTGCCCCCTGCTCCCTGCCACAAAATGCTGGCTATGTGGCGCATAGATCATAGCATCAGGTATCCAATCATAATGCTGGGTGGCGTGAGGAATAAATAATTATCGAGGCATCAGGCAATCGATGACATCTCTGACAAGGTCTGTGCTGTGTCCTGTGTCCTCTGTCCTGTGTGTCACGTGTCCATCTCTGAGCGCGGCTCCTCTCTTGCTCTCGCCCACTTCCGCCTGTGACGAATGATGTTGCCGCTCCATTTGTTGATTGCCGCAATCCTGATCCGCCACTCTGTGCCACACATGTTGCCCATGGGTGGTGCCCCCTCCCCCCTCCCCGCTCTTCTTCTCTGGCTCTTATGCAAAAAAAAAACAAAAAACTCGCGTGAATTTTCGAGACGTGCTCAACCTGGCAGCCCTTCCTTCGGCTGGGTGGCTGCCCGCAGCTGTGGTGGCTCCGCGAATCACTTTCAAATCAGCAATTTATGTTTATTAGGAATGGATGGAGCACGGAGCTGGAGTCTGGGGAGCGCACATCAGTCAGGCAGTTCAGTCAGGCAGTCTGTCTGTCTGTCCTCTCGTTATGCGCACCCCTTTGGCGGTAATCACTGCACCCAGCCAGCGGAGGGGTAACATGACTTCTAGTAGGTGCCTGCCACACCCAGCGGAAAGCATTTAAGTGTATACTGAATATGCCTGATCCTACCAAAGGATAGGGAAAGGGCAGCAGCAGTTTCCCGCCCCAAGGCCTTTCTTTCTCTTCTCTTTTCTCTTCGAGGGCGTTTCCCGGTGCCATTGTCTCCTGTCAGCATTGATTAAACTTTCGGTCCGCCTCGGCTCCCCACTCCCCCGCAACGTTCAGCCGCGCAACGCGTGAAATTTCGCCATGTTGCACAAATTGATGCATGCCACTGCCACTGCCACTGCCGCGTTCCGTGTCTGCGACAACGACAACGACAACGACCAAATTCGCGTCGCGTCGCGTCGCGTCTCGTCGGTGGCATGTTCGGGCGGAGTCGTGTGATTCCTTTTGACGTGCGCAATTAGGGGGAGAGATTTCAACAAGGAAGCTATCAGCCCCATCCTGCCCCAGCCCCTGCCCCAGAATGGAGGGGCGGCAAGAGGCAGGAGGCAGGAGGCAGGAGGCAGTAGGTGGACTTCCTTCCACCTGTACAGACTGCAGCCGGGCGAACTACTAACCCACTTAATGGCAAAAGCTGAACAGAGAGGGGACTACTCCCTCAAGGCTGCTCCCCAGAGCTAAGCAATCGATCGAATAAAGGACCTTCGGGCGAGGGGCTATAGATATTATGAAGCTGTTGTGAGGGTGCACCAATCAAGCGCCAATCAATGCCTAATACGGATCTAAGTTTTCGGTTAGGAACCGGCAGACAGCTGACACATATCCTGGCACATCCTGCCCTGCTGTCGGTCATTTGCATGCTGTGCCCACCCGGGTACCTGGGAGTCGTGTACCAAAGCAATTGAAGAGGATCGCAGTGAGTGGCAGTGGCAGTGGCCCAGAGGAAAGAGCACAGTGGCATGGAATGTGAACCAACTGAAAACAAAATCCAAGTACCCCCCAGTAATCGACAGTGGGCGGAAGGAGAGACATTGCAGCAGACAGACTTGGTGCGAGAGTATTTTCCTGTACAACTATTATCAAGGATTGCCTTTGGAGTCTTAGTCTTAGTCTTTTTGCTCGATGCCGCACCACTGTGCGTCAGTCCTCTAACAGGACATCCCCTGCTGCCGGCACATGAAACACGTTTCCGGCATTATCGGTGCTCCGCGTACGCCTGGCTCTGGTTCCGGTAAACAATAAACAACCGAAAATCCCAGGCCCGGCTCTATCGCAGCCCGAATGAATGGATTTCAGCTGTTCGGCATTCAATATTGAAATATTTTTAGCACAAGTGGTCGACCCGTCTGCCGCTGTGCCTCTGTCCCTGTCTCTGTCTCAGTCTCAGTCTCAGCTCGGCTTGGCATGAATTTCGCTGAAACTGAAACTGGAACCGGAACCCCCGACCGACTAGTACTAGCCGCTGATGATGCCTGATGTCTCGTGCTGAAAGGATTGAGTTTTGTTCTCAGGGATTCAGCTGTTTGGCAGCTGAAATTGCCAGTTGCCAGTCGCCATTTGCCTGCCAACACGAACGAGTCACGTGACTCAAGCGAATAGAAATCGGCGGCTGAATCGGAGTCCCACTGCCAGCCAGCTGGCATGGCAATGATTAATGCCTCTGATACCAAATCAACACTAAGCACGTTGCAGCATATCATTTTGATGCAGAAAAAACAGCTCGATTAAGCAAGAACTTAGCACAGAACTGACTCTTAATATTTGTGCTTGCATTTTGTTATTTTTGGTGCCACTGGCAGATACACTTTCCCCTCCAGCGTTGGTGCATTGTCCTGTGGTTTTGTGTGTTGGCATTGCACTCGCACTCATTACGGTGAGTCTTTTGTGGCGCTGATGGGTAATCTGTGGATTGGAAACGCCTCTCGGAATGGAAACTGCGCTCAGAGCCAGGCCCCGGCACAGCCCTTGAGTGTAACGTAGCCAATTGATTTGGGTTAATTCCACGCCTTGTCGACCGCAAAAGAAACGAAAAGAGGGGTGCGGAGGAGGGTGCGACACTCTTGGCCTGACATTGGTCTGTCGTTTACGAGTTAATTTCCAGACTCGGGCAGCGGAAATGTCTCTATTCAGCGTGGCTAAATTATTCGAATTTACAGCATTGGAAAGCGGCCTCCTTGGGTGACTTTCGGGGCGACTATTCACTGCTACCAAGGCGTCGCAGGCCGCAGTTTCGCGGCCACAGAATGGCGTTCATTCGCTCCCCAAACAGATAGTAGGCGAAGCTCAGGAGAACGATCAGCGCGAAGAAGACGAGACGCAGGGGCGCGGACAGGGCGCCCAGAAAGGGATACGCCCAGATGCCGGTGCGCAGCCAGACGTAGTGGATCCCAGCCAGATAGCCGGCCATGAAGGCGCCCAGGCCGGCAAAGCCCTTGCTCCGTGCCGGGTAGCGGTGCTGCGTGACGCAGAGCTCCACGAGGGCATAGACCACGACGAACGTGTGCATTGTCTGGTTGAGCCAGACGGGATAGATGAGCTCCAGCAGGCCGGGGTAGATCGCATCCTTGTTGATGGCGTAGAGCGTCCAGAAGGTCAGGCCGACGGTCAGGGCCAGGGGCAGCACGAAGCTGGCCAGCAGGTAGTCGCGCAGCAGCCTCAGCCGCCGCACACGGATGACGTCGCAGACCAGGGCCAGCGTATAGTAGCAGAGCTGAAGCAGGCCGCCCAGGAAGGTGATGTACTTCCACTTGCCCCCCATTGGCGCCTCCAGGCGCAGCTCCACCGCCAGCTCCGGCAGCCGCGCGTACCTGTAATCGTAGTAGACGGCGTAGCCGAGGTGCGTCGAGGCGGCGAAGTGCAGCAGCAGCAGCAGCCGCGTCCTGCACGCGTGCACCAACACGTTGCCTCGCTGCTCCATGGGTACGTACTGGTTGGGGCTCGCCAATACGAGCTTCAATTGGTCTGAATGGCCTGTTAGTCACGCTCCTCAATGCGTTACGGCAGGGCCAGCAGCAGCTACACCTTCAGCAGGGACGCCATAGGAAGGAACAGATCTCTGGGAACTCACAGACCTACTACAAGTTTGCCCTGCCCTGCCCTACCCTCTCCTCAATTGGCTATTTGTTTCTTTCTTGCGGATCACAGCTGATGGGGCTGGATGGGCTGCTCACATTTCAATGCCAGATGACGGCGGTACGGTACGGTACCCAGGGATGGCAGGGTAGGAGTATGGGTAGGGGTGGGGGTGGGGGAAGGTCAACTGACCGCAGGGCAATTAAAGCGAGTGCGTACTGTAAATATTTGTCTGTGCCGCTGGCGCGGCGCAGCCTCCTTTGTCCGATAATTACAATTAGCCAGGCCTGGCAGCACTCCTGCATCGGCTACGGCTACAGCTACGGCTACGACTCTGGCCATATGGCCAAGAAGGGACCAAACTGCAATTTGTATTCCTGCTGACGGGCGTAGCGAAGAGGGTTCGACAGGGGGGCCGCAGCGGCGTCTCTATTGCATCGATTCCCGGCTGGGCTGTGGGTGCTCTGTTTTTAAGTGCTCTGCCACATCCTTGCCCCGGGCGGAGCTTCAGCAGCAGCCTCCCACTTGAGGCTGTGGTGTAGTGGAGCTTAGGTTCTCAATATCTGCGCTGGGCATGCGGAGGCAAAAACGACTGCAACGCGGCGCAGTCCGAGTGGACAGTGTGGCAGTCGTCCTGCCGACAACAGATGAGCTGAGCGGCCAAGTGGACAAGGCAAGGCGACAGAAACAGAGCCAAACAAACGTTGAGTACTTCGACTGGGAGTCCCTCCTTTTTCCTCCTTTTTTGAAGATTTTTAACTGCCTTAAAAATAATTGAAATTGAAGTGCCAAATGCCGTAGGCTTGCTGCCTGTTTTATCTGTCGAGAAGGGATTTGAAGTGAGAGTTGCCGACTGCGCAAAGAGTACTGCAACGTGTCGTTTATTTCTCCATGCGATTTATGATTTATTCGCCAAGTAGCTGGATAGTCCGGGCAAGGCAATTACTGGCTTACCCCAACTAAAGCGATTGTTCTTTGATATGTAGTTTCCAAAGCGTTTTTCCCTACTGCCATCACAACTATTACTCGTCATAGAGTCATCGATCTATTTGGAATTGTTTTCAGTGGCGTGGAGCACGGGGCACGGTGCACGGGGCAGACACAACTCAATTAAATAATAGACACAGACCCAGACCCAGACCCTCTGCTACGGTACCCAGTGGCCCAGTGCAACCGATTTTGGTGGTGGTGGCGCAGCAGCAGCAGCAGCAACAACAAATCAATCAAGCTGCATTATCCACTAAAGGGGGTTAACGACTTTGCGACCGAAGCCCCAAAATTGACTGCCGTTGACTGGCGCTGGCAGTGACGCTGGCCCCCATGTGTTTACATACGAGCAGTTTAGCAGGAGGTCTTATCACAGCACAGCTGATGCTCGCATTGGGGCAAATACTCGTGCGCGTAGAGGGGAAGGGATGGCGACTCTTATCGTCCGCCCCGGCTGCACGTGTGCACGGCGCTGGGATCTAGCAACCCATCGGCTATCGGAAAGCTACGGCATCATTAACACAGATGGGCCCACTGATAAGTCGTCCAGCTCCGTCGTCGTCCAGCTGTCAGCTGTGGGTAAGGGACACCCTCGCCCTTGCCCATTGAAGGTAGAAAGCAGAGAAGGGCAAGGCATGGGCATGGCCATGGCCTGGAGAGTCATTGGATATTGATGGCATATGTATTTGCTCAGGGGTCGCGTGGTCGCTTGTGGCTTTGTGGGTGGGAGCGCCGCAGGGGCAGGGCACACGTGTACCCATTTTTTGGTGGGTGGGGGAGCTCTTAGCTTATAGATGTTCTGATTTACTTCCAGTATCTGCCCCTGAAGTTATATCCCGATCCTCAGCGCAGCTCGTTCCAAACCGAATGCCGGAGGCTCTTTGGCTTTTGCTTGCCATATGGGAACGGCTATGTATACATACAAAAAATACCCATACATACATACATATATATGTGTATATGTATGTGTATGTGTATGTATGTATGGGTTTATTTATTTGATTTGTCGCGCGTCGTTTTGCCTTCACAGTTAATTTACGAGTTTTAATTTATTAAATCAACAGCAGAAACAGCAATCAGCCATCCCGCGTCAGTGGCTGTCGAGCAGCCGCCTGGCCGGCTTGGCCGTCCCCCCCCTCCCCTGTCCACTGTCCACTGTTGTCGGTTTGCCAGCTTGATAATCTTATTGTGGCCCCCTCCGCGCAGCCCCCACGAAGGGTAGCGAATGCCAGCTCGGCGGCGGCTGAAAGCCAATTGATGATACAATTGATGGAGCGACAAGACGACATCCAGAAATAGAACACGTTAATTACGGGGCCCGATAAGAGTTACTGGCACTGGCACTGGCACTGGACAGCCCCAGCCCAAGCTAAAGCCACAACAGAATCGTCGAAGTTGAGAAAGGCAATGAGCAGCAGCAGCAGCGGCAGCAGCATCATCGTTCATCATTGCAGGGGAATTGTTGCTTCAGTTTGGCACTGGGAATCAGCTCTTGTGGCTGAATAAACTCCAAATACTTGTGAAATATTTCCAGCAAGTGCCCCCAGATCAGAGACCGTTTCCCTTTGCCGCTCGCCACGTGTTCGTTTGGGCTGTAAGCACTTTTACATGCCGCACAAACAATCGGCTATTCCACACACCATCCACACATCCCCCATTCTCCATCCGCCGTGCATTGGCCTGTATAATCCGTGTAAATATGTACCCTGCAATTAGTACAAATGTCGAATGCAAATATTGGGTGTGCGCGCGCAGCTTATCAGCCATCAGCCGCAGAACACAATACTCCACAATGTTCCATGCCATCCCCCCTGCCATGGGGGTGGAGTGTCGCTGAGAGAGTGGGTTGTTAAGAGCGGTGTGCAGGCGGGGCGATTGACTTGTTCCCAACATTTCGGGCTAACGTCTGGCGGTTCCCCTTTGATAGCGGAATGGGCCAGAGGTTGAGTTTGACTTTGAGATTGGTTGGTTGGTTGCTGGTTGGTTGGTTGGTTGGTTGGTTGGTTGGGTTGCCTTTCATAAAGTCCGACAGTCAGCCAATTCCGCTTATCAAACGCAGCTGCAAGATGTTTGTTCTTCAGAACTAAAGGGCTGCTCTCTCTCTCTCTATCTCTCTCTCTCTCTCTCTCTCTCTCTCTGTGTGTATGTATGTAAATCGGTGACTCTGCTTCGTAATTGTGTGTTGAGAGGGCTCAATATTAGCTCTATTCCCCAGCAATCTGCCACAAAATTATAAAATTATTTTGTAGTTTTGTGTGTGCTTCGAATAATCTTTTAATCTCGCTGTGATAGTTTCCCCTCACTCACACACACACACACACTAACTATTCAAAGGTTATAATCTTGGTGGATTGTTTCATAATTTCTTTATTTATAGCACTGAGTGCTGAGTGGACAATTTCGTTCCCTAGCCCTAGCCCTAGCCCTAGCCCTAGCCCTAGCCCTAGCCCTAGCCATCTGTTCGCATCGGTATTTGCCATATCAATTTGTAGCCTGCTGCTAAGTAGTGGGCACTGCCTGCTATTTTTTTTTCGTTTATTATCCCACTTAAGTCGTCTGCAGAAATCTAAAATAAATATTGACCATAGCCGAAAGGAAGAGCGTCGCAAAAATATGATTCCATGACGTCTAGCCGCAATCTGGACTTGTTTTGGGCAGCTATACATAGCTACATATGTATGTATGTCAGTTCCTATTGTGTGCATATATAATTATGATACGCGGCAGGGTCGACTGACTGTGTGGCTTGGCTGGAGCTGCTGCTAATTTTTGCTTTGCTTTGCTTTGTTTTTGCGGCAGTTTTGCTTCGATTACGAATTGCTTCGAATTGTAGCTCCGATTGAGTTTTAGGACGGAAAATAAGACCCACCAGTGTCGGCGGGAGGGAGGACTGAGTTCCCTGAATTAAAATCTAAGCCAAAATCTCGCACTCAATCGAAAGAGAGGCGCGCACGGGGACTCTCTTGAGCGTGGGGCAGGGTAAGAGAGCGAGAGAGAGAGAGAAAATTCTGAGTGATTTTTTGCGCCACTCAAGAGAGACTCAAAAGTGTTCTACTTCTATTGTTTGGCCTCGAAGCTGAGTTGTTGGTTTGAGTTTAACTAATAAATAAATAAATAAATTATTATTTATTATTATTTATAAATAAAAATAATAAATAAATAAATTATTATTTATTTATACAAGCAAAATAATATTAATATTCTTCCTGGCTATTGGTTGAGTAAATCTGATTGAGTTTCGAATTCCCATTTGACTAATTTGGCCAGACAGAACCGATAACATTAACGAAACACACAGCAGACAATTTTAAGCATCTTTTTGGGGGGAATTCTTTTGCATGCCCCACAAAAGAGCCACAGGGAGCAGTCAGCCAGCCAGCCAGCCAGCCATCATCCGTGTTTCACCACCTCCTAAGGTTGGCAACAGCAACACGAGAAGCCAAAGCCGTGAGTTCTGACAAAAAACTTTGCCTTCTCATTCTGCTTTTCCTTCGGCTTGAGGTTGGATGTGTGGTGGTGGGGGGGGGGCGGCCCCATCGTCTGGCTACACCCCTTTTTATGCCGCACTTTAGCTAAGAATTTTCTCTAATGACTTAAACGCGGTAACCACTAAAACATTTACAGCGCACACAGCGCCTCTCCGGCAGGGCTCAGGGTTTAGGTAAAAGCCGTGTCGTTCGCATTGCCAGTTTTTGGCTGGAGTGGTAGAGTGTGGAATGGTGTGGAATGGTTGGGGCGTGGGGCGTGGGGCGTGGGAGTGGAGTGGAGTGGCGCTTTTCTGCGCAAATTTTCCTCGAAAACCGCAAGTAGAAAACTCATTAAGCGAAAAGCATTTGGCGGCAAAGTAGACTCCAAAAACGGCGTGAGGCGTGACTGC